GCAACCCTGCTTTGGCAGGGGAGTTGGACGAGATGATCTCTAGAAGGTCCCTTCCAACTCTGACAATTCCATGATTCCATGAACCTTTTTCTGAACTGTGTGACCAGGAAATAATTGTTTAGGAAGAGGGGAGGTGAAATGTGCACTGGTGTTACTTGCAAGAAGGCTTCCAACTCGACATGGCACGGGGCTGAGGAATCACATCTGTTTTGGAATGAAAATGAGATAATTCCATCTTGTGACACGAGGAATCTAATCACAGCACATGCCTTGAGCTTTGTATTTGTAGAAACAGATGTCAGAGGGAAGTAAGTTTTGCACAGATTGTTCAGAAGTGAAATTCAGAACTGATTGTTCAGCATTTAGCAGCGTTGGGGACATCTCTTGGGAGGCTGTAATACCCGACACTTTTGCCTGTCTCACCGTACCCTGCTGCTGTCTGAATTATTCATTATTAATTATTCCTGAGTCTCCACAGTTTACAACATGGCACTTAAGCGGTCACTGGAGTCTGACAATTTGAGGAAAAGATGGGGCATCGTTGCTAAGGTGAGCACGGGGTGCAGGTAAAGGTTACTTCAGCCAAAGACAAGGAGAGAAATAGAGAAAGCCAAAAGGAGCAGGAGGAAGTTGGCTGAGACAGAGCAAACCATTGTATCCTCACTGCAGTACCACTCTTGGGGAAAAGCCCCCACGTTCAGTTGCCATTTTGATTATCCAAGGCAGAAAGAAGGAGGCTGCCACCCTGGAAAGGAGGGAAAGTCAGGAGGAGTCAAGGAATTGAATGGAGAGCACAGAGGGTAGTAGCTATAACCAAAGGATTCGTAAATCTGTGCAGCAAGACAGGGAGTCTGAATGGTTTGCCCAGAACAAGAATGCTGGAGAGGGTACAGCAGAGGGCTACAAAGATGATGAGGGGCCTGGAGCATGTCTCTTACGAGGAAAGGCTGAGGGACTTGGGTCTTTTTAGTCTGGAGAAGAGAAGGCTGAGGGGGGATCTGATCAACACCTATAAATACTGAAAGGGTGGGTGTCAGGAGGATGGGGCCAGTCTGTTTTCAGTGGTGCCCAGGGATGGGACAAGAGGAAATGGGCACAAATTGAACATAATAATTTCCATCTAAACATAAGGAGGAACTTCTTTCCTGTGAGGGTGGCAGAGCCCTGGAAGAGGCTGCCCAGAGAGGTGGTGGAGTCTCCTTCTCTGGAGACATTAAAACCCACATGGACACCTTCCTGTGCAGCCTGCTCTGGGTGGACCTGCTCTGGCAGGGGCTTGGACTGGATGATCTCCAGAGGTCCCTTCCAACCCCATATGGTTCTGTGATTCTGTGAATGTCATGTGACAGCAGCTTGTGGTTACTTTTCCCATACTTTTCCCCAAATCCAAGTTTATAGACAGCATGTTATGGTGTCTATACTGTCTCTGACAGTATTTCAACAGCAGGGTGCTAAAGGGACGTTGCGACTCCCAAGAGACTCACAGTAACAGAGGTTAAGAAACTCTCTACTCCTTCTAGGAAGCTGGACAGAAAGGTGGAGCAGATGGAGCAGTGCTAACAGCGTGCAGAGTGCCCAGGCTGAGCTCACAATAACCCACAGTGCAGCGGACTGGACTTTCAAACAGGGTGACACACTTCCATTAATCATTACACACAATAACCCACGCCTGCTGTGCCATACCAACATTTCAGCACAGAGTTCAGTGCCGTGGCAAACCTCCCCTCTACACATACGTAGCTTTTATCTTGGCACAGCTTTGTTTTCTTGCAGCTGTGGTAAGAAAAAAATATTTTTTGCATGTTCTGCTTCTGGAATATTAGGTGATAATATGACTTTTGCTGTATCACTTTTGCTGCAATACAAATGTTTTATATGTGCATACTTCCATCTCCTGGTCAGATTGTATATTGCACTTATCTGGCAACACTGATGTGTCTCACGTCTCGTTAAGGACTTGTAATTACCCTTTGATGTCCTTGAGGGAGATAAAGATTTATTATTCCACTCAGTACAAGACCTAGTGCCGTGGCAAACCTCCCCTCTACACATACGTAGCTTTTATCTTGGCACAGCTTTGTTTTCTTGCAGCTGTGGTAAGAAAAAAATATTTTTTGCATGTTCTGCTTCTGGAATATTAGGTGATAATATGACTTTTGCTGTATCACTTTTGCTGCAATACAAATGTTTTATATGTGCATACTTCCATCTCCTGGTCAGATTGTATATTGCACTTATCTGGCAACACTGATGTGTCTCACGTCTCGTTAAGGACTTGTAATTACCCTTTGATGTCCTTGAGGGAGATAAAGATTTATTATTCCACTCAGTACAAGACCTCCTCTATCAATTACGAGCTTTTTAAGGGGCACAAGAAGATAAAGTGCTTGTGAGCCAGCACAGGGGGGATGCCGAAACAACCAGAAAACCATGGATGAAATGCAAAGAGTTAATTTATTTTCATTGCCTCGCCAACCGGGGCATCCCTGAAGCAGCACCCAGGCAGAGCTCGGTCCGTGCTAGAGGAGGATCACCAAAATTGCTGGTTTTGCACAGGGACTCGCACGGGTGTAGTTTACCACCGTTCTTTATCTTTCCTGCAGTGAGACAGGAAGCTCAAGGATGTTTGATAGGGTGCCTCTAAGTCTGTCACAGCCCCGTGTTGTCTAAACACAGATGTTTTACTTGTCAAACGCACAGGACTAAGCAGCAATCCCTACACGTGCTTTTTGACACCTCAGCTGCAAGTCACTTGAGGGCGTTTACAATCCTCCCCACCAACCTTCCGTTACTTGCCCACAAAGTGCTACATGGATATAGGGAAGAACATTCTCCCTGGGGAGAGGGAAAGAAGGTGGGTGTTATAATTTGTGTGTGTTTGCGTGCTTTCTGGGTTCTGAGCAATATCTGGTGGAGGATGGAGGGGAGAAGTCATGGCCAAATGTCCCACAGGAGCTGCTAAATTCCTGTCTTGGGGTTGCAGGGATTGCAACCCACCAGGGTATTGCAACTGGGGTGGCAGCTCAGAGTCTCCAGCTGTAGTTGGAGGTGGCCATATGTACTATGGAGGCCTGTGGAGCAGTTCTGAGCTAGCTAAGCGGTCCCTCTGTGTCCTCTCCTGCCATCATCAGCCCTGGTGGGACATTTTGTGGACAGTGTCTTCTTGCCACTTGGATTTAGCCCACCACTCGGCGACACCAGGAAGATCAAAGGGCATCTTGTAGAAAAGGTGACCAACAACGTTGGTGACAAATGTGCCTGATTGGATTAGCCACAAATCACAGCTATCAATATTAGTCACCTATTTTTTGTTATATTTCATCACTATGTATTTTTTTGCAAATATGGCAATGTGCAGGCTGCCCAACGGTCAAATTGTCAAGGCTAAAACAGATGGGATCGACAAAGTCCTGTGTCAGACTGACAGCACCAGAGCAAGGAACGTGTTGGAAGTGTGGTGGCCACACTGCAGGCACACAGATCAACTCAATCACTCGAGAATGACAGAATGGTAGGGGTTGGAAAGGAACAAAAGCTGATAACAAATGTTCAGGAACAGAACCCTTTCCAAAGGAAACGGTTTAACTGGGTTAAAGCAAGACCACAGAAAGGACCTGAGAAATTGTCTTTGAGAATTAGTCATATGAGGCACTGCTGTACTACAAAAGGCAGTGTGGAGAGAAAATTGTTGTAGTCATTATTTTCACTGCTAAAAGAGTTGGGTTTTATTACAGCCGAGGAGTTTCCTTCATGCTGCACCTCACCGTTTCCATATGGTTCTTAATTACTGATTGGAGAGAACTATTTGGTTACTTATTACTAACAACTCTTATTCCTCTGGGCCAGCAATCACAGCAATACAGAGCAAAGGATGAGCTCAACATTTTCTCAAATAATCACAGAATCCTATGGGTTTGGAAGGGACCTCTGGAGATCATCCAGTCCAACCCCCTGCCAGAGCAGGTCCACCCAGAGCAGGTTGCACAGGAACGTGTCCAGGCGGGTTTGAATGTCTCCAGAGAAGGAGACTCCACCACCTCTCTGGGCAGCCTCTTCCAGGGCTCTGCCACCCTCAAAGTGAAGAAGTTCCTCCTCACGTTTAGATGGAACTTCCCATGTTCAAGTTTGTGCCCTGACGCCCACACACACGTGGCGAGTGTGAGCACCTAATGCAGTCGCACTTTTTAGATTTCCGAGGTACAGTTAAGAGCGGCAACCCACCCCCCCATTCCCCGCAACAGCGGAGATTTCAGTCAGGTTCGTTCCCCATCTCCCTCCAGGCCGCCAGGCGCTGAGGAACGCCGCCATATGAGGCCAGGCCGCTTCAGCAGCAACAGGCGCCCTTAGGGCCCTAGGGAAGACGATGGTCCCCAGCCTCAGGTGGCCCCTAACCCCAGGTGGCCCCTGGCCGGCTGCTGGCGTTATCTTACCCCTCAGGAACCGGTGGCCGGGCCCGTTCTGGCGGCCCCGCCGCCGCCGTCTTCTCCATGGCAACGCAGTGGGAGGAGCCGGGGGGGGGGCGAGGCGGCGGATCAGGCAGCGCCGCGGACAGCCTGCTCCCGCGCGCGCGCTGGGGTCCTAGCGTGCTATAAGAGCGCGAGGCGGAGGGCCCGCCTCCCTCTTTCGCTGGCGGCTGGCGGCGGCGCCGGGGTAAGTAGTAGAGATGGCGCCGGGGCCTGCACGGGCTGAATCCCCGCCGCCGGCCGGGCATCGCGGCGGGAGCGGGCCGGGAGGGGGCTTCGGGGAGGCCGGCGCCACTCACCCGTGCGGCCTGTGTCTGTATTTGCAGCAGGAACCCGGGCGGGAACAGCACCCACCGAGAGCACCATGGCCGAGGAAGGGTGAGCGGGGGCCGGGGAGGCGGTTGGGGGGCGGCGGGGCCGGGCGGGCCGCCTCTCGCCTCACCTGCCGCGCCGTGGGGCGTACGCTCCGTGTTGGGCCTGGTAGGCCTCGCAGTGGGAGGAGCCGGGGGGGGGGCGAGGCGGCGGATCAGGCAGCGCCGCGGACAGCCTGCTCCCGCGCGCGCGCTGGGGTCCTAGCGTGCTATAAGAGCGCGAGGCGGAAGGCCCGCCTCCCTCTTTCGCTGGCGGCTGGCGGCGGCGCCGGGGTAAGTAGTAGAGATGGCGCCGGGGCCTGCACGGGCTGAATCCCCGCCGCCGGCCGGGCATCGCGGCGGGAGCGGGCCGGGAGGGGGCTCCGGGGAGGCCGGCGCCACTCACCCGTGCGGCCTGTGTCTGTATTTGCAGCAGGAACCCGGGCGGGAACAGCACCCACCGAGAGCACCATGGCCGAGGAAGGGTGAGCGGGGGCCGGGATGGCGGTTGTGGGGTGGCGGGGCCGGGCGGGCCGCCTCTCGCCTCACCTAAACGCCGTGGGGCGACCGCTCCGCGTTGGGCCTGGTAGGCCCCGCCGTGGAGCTGCCGCATGCTTCCTGCAGGGGGGAGGCCGGGCGTGGGTCAGACTGGCGGGTGCATGGCTTCCCTTTGTGAGGGAGCACGGAGAGAGCTAGGCCCGCTGGCTACCTGGAACGTTTAATCTCTTCATTTTCTTCCAGATTATTTTTAAATTTCCCCTTTGGCCTGGTTCTTTACCTCGCATTTCTTCTATATTCTTTTTCCTAACGATTGGATGCTTGCGGGTGAATGGGGAGCTTTGGCTTAGAGTTGTAAGATGTTGTAAGGATCGGAGTGATATCCCTTTTCTCTTTAGCATTACTGCTGGAGGTGTAATGGATGTTAACACCGCCCTGCAAGAAGTGCTGAAGACTGCACTTATCCATGATGGCCTCGCTCGTGGTATCCGTGAAGCAGCCAAAGCCTTGGACAAGTAAGTGGTGTTTTCCTACTTGGTCTGTTGTGAATAGCAAAACTGGGTGAGGTATGTTAGAATCATGGGGGTTTTATGTTGGAAGGGACTTAAAACATAATCGAGTTCCAACCCCCTGCCCTGGGCAGGGACACCTCCCACCAGACCACGTTGCTCCAAGCCCCATCCAGCCTGGTCTTGAGCATATCCAGGGATGGGGCAGCCACAGCTTCTCTGGGCAACCTGTTCTAGTGCCTCACCATCCTCACAGCCAAGAATTTATTTTTAATATCACCTATGAAGCTCTCCTCTTTCAGTTTAAACCATTCCCCCTCCTCCTATGGCTCCACTTGGTCAGGAGTCCCTCCCCATCTCTCCTGGAGCCCCTTTAGGGCCTGGAAGGGGCTCTAAGGTCTCCCTGGAGCCTTCTCCAGGCTGAACAACCCCAACTTTCTCAGCCTGTCTTCATAGGAGACGTACTCCAGTCCTCGGAGCATTATGTTGAACATGTACAGTGCTCACTGTGTCCACGTGTTCAGTTAAAAAATTTTGCAAGAATATGGGGTTTTTTGCCAATGAGTTTTGTCTTGTACTATCTCTGTTTTGAGTCTTTCCCTGTGATCTTTAAAATACAGACGCTAAACTCAGTGACTCAATACCACATCTAGTGCATTAGGTTTGGTCTTTTTGTGACACCAGTGCCATTGAGTTTTCATGTGGATTGGTTTCATGGGGAAAAAAAACCCAAAACCAGAACGATGCTTGCAGTATGTAGTCATGGAAATACGGGGCTTGAGAGTTATGTGTTTTAACAAGCTATAAACTCTCCCCAAAACTTCCAAAAAACAAGAAAACTTCCAAAAAACTTCCCAAAACAAGAATTTTAATTGGGAGGGTTAATATGTATGTCACACTTGGAAGAATTGGTTTAATTTTTGTAGAGGAAAACTGAAATTCATAGCTTGCCTTTACTGGTTTTAGCTTCATTTTTTTGATACTGCATCTGTAAATAATTGCTTTAGTACAATATCTAAATAATATTAGACTTGTCCTATATGCCATGTGCCAACCAAGGTAACTAGTTATGGTTTTTTGGTTGGGTGAAGTACTATATATATGAATGTATGCATCTATACACATGTCTGTGTATATAGGCATATACTTTTAAGAGTAAGCAGTGTTTAAGTGTAATGCTACAGTGTTTGGGTGATGACTTCAAGCATTTGTCGGATACCCCTTCACTCGTCTTATGAGTGAGAATTGCAGTCTGACAAACCTGTATGCTAAAAGCTTTAAGACAAGGTGCCAAATGATGGAAGAGAAATACAGCTCAGGTGACTGGCAGCTCGTTTGTAAGAGTTACTTTTAGTTCAGCTACGCCTTCAGATTATGTATGTCAAGAGGATGATGTATGTACAAGGTTTATACACATTTGTATGTGATGGTTCTTGCTTGGAAATGTTTCTGAAGTGCTCTGGTGAAGCTCATGATGAAGAAGGCTGTAGAGAAAGCTGTTTGCAGTGGTCAAAATGCATTAGGTTGAGCACAGAAGACCTACACAGCTCTTCTTGTTGTCAGGTGTCCCTTGGGTATTCTTAACATTGTACCACACTGTACAAAGATCCTAATTAGAAACAAGGCCCTGTCCTAACAGCTTCTTTGAAGGTAAGTGGAAAAGATTGTTCTGAAGAGCTTATGACAACTTGAAATGGAAATGCAAGCTTTTAATAATTACAACTCTAATGTTAAATGATTGCAATCTGAGGTGAACAAGAAAAAGCAACTTGTAACTTGGTTGCTTTCATATGGTGGCACCAGTTCTTCATGGCATCTAGTATTTTTCCGGTCATTGCACCTTTTTCCAATGGCTGAGAGTTTTAGTGGCATTTTTAGAAGCTTCCAAAACTGGAATAGAATCTGATAATAAAGTTGACAACGTTTGTGTGTTTTGTTACGTATATGAAAAAAAATAGTAGATTATTTCAAAAATATACACAGTATTTCAGAAGCATGTGGTGTCTCAAAAAGAAAAAAAACTTAGGAAGTGATTGTTTAGAAATGCATGTGCTGAATTCTGTTCTTCACAGTTTTGATTATTAAAGTTTAAGCAGTGTTTAAAGTTACATTCCTAAGTTTTCCTTTATTTTTTTTTAGGCGCCAAGCCCATCTTTGCGTTCTGGCTTCAAATTGTGATGAACCCACGTATGTAAAATTAGTTGAAGCACTTTGTGCAGAACATCAGATAAACCTAATAAAGGTGAGTGTTGGAACTTGACACACAAGTTTGGAACAGTTACCCTGCAATATAAGCTCTTAATTTGAGCGTGTAGAGAGCTGAACCTTTGAAGCATTCTGCTGTAACACTGTATATGGCTTATTGAAGCAAAATTTTTCTTAGCAGTAGAGGTTTTTTTAGTTCTATGTGATTGTCATAGGAGTACAAAAACTGGATGTAAATGGAAAAGCATGTGTATTAGGTATTTATAAAAAGTTAAAATGAATATTTGTATCCTGTATAATAAGAAATAGAATTAATGCTGCAGGTGGTTGTGGAGGATGGGAGGAGTCTCAATGGGATGTCAAATTGAAATACTTTAAAACTATATAATCACAGAATGGTAGGGGTTGGAAGGGACCTCTGGAGATCACCTACTCTCCAACCTCCTGCCAGAGCAGGTCCACCCAGAGCAGGTTGCACAGGAACGTGCCCAGGTGGGTTTGGAGTGTCTCTAGAGAAAGAAACTCCACCACCTCTCTGGGCAGCCTCTGCCAGGGCTCTGCCACCCTCAAAGCGAAGAAGTTCCTCCTCATGTTTAGGTGGAACTTCTCATGTTCAAGTCTGTGCTTGTTCCCTCTTGTCCTGTCCCTGGGCACCACCGAAAAAAGACTGGCCCCATTGACACCCTCCCTTTCAGTATTTATAGGTGTTGATCAGATCCCCCACCTCAGTCTTCTCCAGACTAAAAAGACTGAAGTCCCTCAGCATTTCCTCACAAGAGAGATGTTCTAGGCCCCTAATCGAAAAAAAACCCAAAACCAGAACGATGCTTGCAGTATGTAGTCATGGAAATACGGGGCTTGAGAGTTATGTGTTTTAACAAGCTATAAACTCTCCCCAAAACTTCCAAAAAACAAGAAAACTTCCAAAAAACTTCCCAAAACAAGAATTTTAATTGGGAGGGTTAATATGTATGTCACACTTGGAAGAATTGGTTTAATTTTTGTAGAGGAAAACTGAAATTCATAGCTTGCCTTTACTGGTTTTAGCTTCATTTTTTTGATACTGCATCTGTAAATAATTGCTTTAGTACAATATCTAAATAATATTAGACTTGTCCTATATGCCATGTGCCAACCAAGGTAACTAGTTATGGTTTTTTGGTTGGGTGAAGTACTATATATATGAATGTATGCATCTATACACATGTCTGTGTATATAGGCATATACTTTTAAGAGTAAGCAGTGTTTAAGTGTAATGCTACAGTGTTTGGGTGATGACTTCAAGCATTTGTCGGATACCCCTTCACTCGTCTTATGAGTGAGAATTGCAGTCTGACAAACCTGTATGCTAAAAGCTTTAAGACAAGGTGCCAAATGATGGAAGAGAAATACAGCTCAGGTGACTGGCAGCTCGTTTGTAAGAGTTACTTTTAGTTCAGCTACGCCTTCAGATTATGTACGTCAAGAGGATGATGTATGTACAAGGTTTATACACATTTGTATGTGATGGTTCTTGCTTGGAAATGTTTCTGAAGTGCTCTGGTGAAGCTCATGATGAAGAAGGCTGTAGAGAAAGCTGTTTGCAGTGGTCAAAATGCATTAGGTTGAGCACAGAAGACCTACACAGCTCTTCTTGTTGTCAGGTGTCCCTTGGGTATTCTTAACATTGTACCACACTGTACAAAGATCCTAATTAGAAACAAGGCCCTGTCCTAACAGCTTCTTTGAAGGTAAGGTAAGTGTAAAAGATTGTTCTGAAGAGCTTATGACAACTTGAAATGGAAATGCAAGCTTTTAATAATTGCAGTTCTAATGTCAAATGATTGCAATCTGAGGTGAACAAGAAAAAGCAACTTGTAACTTGGTTGCTTTCGTACGGTAGCACCAGTTCTTCATGGCATCTAGTATTTATCCAGTCATTGCACCTTTTTCCAATGGCTGAGAGTTTTAGTGGCATTTTTAGAAGCTTCCAAAACTGGAATAGAATCTGATAATAAAGTTGACAACGTTTGTGTGTTTTGTTACGTATATGAAAAAAAATAGTAGATTATTTCAAAAATATACACAGTATTTCAGAAGCATGTGGTGTCTCAAAAAGAAAAAAAACTTAGGAAGTGATTGTTTAGAAATGCATGTGCTGAATTCTGTTCTTCACAGTTTTGATTATTAAAGTTTAAGCAGTGTTTAAAGTTACATTCCTAAGTTTTCCTTTATTTTTTTTTAGGCGCCAAGCCCATCTTTGCGTTCTGGCTTCAAATTGTGATGAACCCACGTATGTAAAATTAGTTGAAGCACTTTGTGCAGAACATCAGATAAACCTAATAAAGGTGAGTGTTGGAACTTGACACACAAGTTTGGAACAGTTACCCTGCAATATAAGCTCTTAATTTGAGCGTGTAGAGAGCTGAACCTTTGAAGCATTCTGCTGTAACACTGTATATGGCTTATTGAAGCAAAATTTTTCTTAGCAGTAGAGGTTTTTTTAGTTCTATGTGATTGTCATAGGAGTACAAAAACTGGATGTAAATGGAAAAGCATGTGTATTAGGTATTTATAAAAAGTTAAAATGAATATTTGTATCTTGTATAATAAGAAATAGAATTAATGCTGCAGGTGGTTGTGGAGGATGGGAGGAGTCTCAATGGGATGTCAAATTGAAATACTTTAAAACTAGGGAGGAGTCTCAATGGGATGTCAAATTGAATTACTTTAAAACTATATAATCACAGAATGCTATGGGGTTGGAAGGGACCTCTGGAGATCACCTACTCTCCAACCTCCTGCCAGAGCAGGTCCACCCAGAGCAGGTTGCACAGGAACGTGCCCAGGTGGGTTTGGAGTGTCTCTAGAGAAAGAAACTCCACCACCTCTCTGGGCAGCCTCTGCCAGGGCTCTGCCACCCTCAAAGCGAAGAAGTTCCTCCTCATGTTTAGGTGGAACTTCTCATGTTCAAGTCTGTGCTTGTTCCCTCTTGTCCTGTCCCTGGGCACCACCGAAAAAAGACTGGCCCCATTGACACCCTCCCTTTCAGTATTTATAGGTGTTGATCAGATCCCCCACCTCAGTCTTCTCCAGACTAAAAAGACTGAAGTCCCTCAGCATTTCCTCACAAGAGAGATGTTCTAGGCCCCTAATCTTGGTAGCCCTGGTACCTTCCTTCATCACAGACTGATACTTCAGGAAAGCATCCCTCCATTACCCAATACTTCATACAGCTTGGAGTTTTTTTGCTGAGCCTGGTTATGCTAGAAACAATTAGTCCTAATGTGATGCAATGTTTCACCCAGGTTGATGACAACAAGAAGCTGGGTGAATGGGTTGGGCTCTGCAAGATCGACAGAGAAGGAAAACCTCGCAAAGTAGTGGGCTGCAGTTGCGTGGTGGTCAAAGTAAGATGATGCTAATTACAGCTTATTTCTTGTCTTCTGAAAATAAGCAGCAAAGATGAGTTTAGATAAGGGACTATTAGAGCTAAAGATGCTTTAGATAAGGGACTATTAGAGCTCTTGGGATTTTATTTTTTTAAAACAGTTGTTTTCCATTGTTGGTAGTGAAAATCAGCTGCTTCCTCCCATTAACCCCCTGTTCCATAGTATCTTTCATATTTATTTAGAATACTCATTTTGTGGGTTAATGGCTGTGTCCTTCAAGTATCTGCCCACTTGGCAGTAAGCATTAAAGGAAAGACATTTTAAGTAAAGAGATAAAGTTTTGCCACAGAAAAAATGCCAGTTCAGTGTCTCTGCTCAACTTGGGACTGTTTTGCAGAGCACCACTTCAAAAAGAGACTGGTAAAGTGAAGCCACAGTACGAGCCTTGAAGACTTTGTTGTCCTTGAGGTCCCTGAGAGTTGGCTACATCTTCCCAATAAAGGCTGATGCCTTCTGCATGTGTTTATATGCTTTTGCCACTGTTTGACCTGCTTTATTTGGCTTAAGCAGAAATTAATTTGTTTGGATCCATACTGATGGGCGTAACACTTAAAGACTAGGTTTTTATTAGAGAATGAAGGGAAAGCAGCTGGGAGATGGCTTGAGGTTACTTGTCTGGAATTTTGGGAATGCCTTGAGGAAGTGTCAGAATCTGAGTTGTAAAATTTTCAGTGGGTCTGTGTGTTATTAATGGGTTATCTCGTGTTACAGGACTATGGCAAGGAATCTCAGGCCAAGGATGTCATCGAAGAGTACTTCAAGTGCAAGAAATGAACGGAAAATAAATTTTAAACCTGACGTGTGTGTGTGATTAATGGGTGGGTATCTGTGGAATCACTCTCTGGCTTGAAAAGAGAACATCAGAAGGTGAAAGAACTTTGGTCTGCTGAACTTTGCACAGCTTCTCAGTCCCAAAAACCCTGTTGGTACCTTGGTTGGGGAGTGTTTAGGCCTGTGCTTGTTTCCAGAGTATTTAGGGCAAATCTGAAGTATTGCTGCATCTGTGATGAAACTTTGGCTCCCTCTACTGAACCAAGTGAGGAGAACAGCCTTAACCGTTACCCAAGTCTTCTGAGATGCTGCAAGAAACTTCTAAATGCTCTCATAATTTATTCAGGGAACTTAATTGACCCAAAGTGTGTTCTGTTGGGTTCTCCCTGCTCCCTCGCAAATTGTTAATAGAATTAGATTTAGACTAAGTATTATCATGTAATTCTAGATCTGATCCTCAAGTTCTCAGTAGCCAAGCAGTGGAGATCTCACTTCTCAAACAAGGCAGTGTTGAGCTGTGACTTGCCCAGTGTCTTGCCTTCCCAAGTAGCTGGATGTGGTTTTGCTTTTTGACAGTAAGGTGGGATTGGAATTCAAGATTTCTTTTTTTCTTTCCTGCAAGTTGCTTTCAATGTCTTACATTTTCTGTGGAGCAGCTCTAAGGAGTCCTAAGGAATTGCTCCGTTATGCTGGTGAGGAGGACAGGAAGGTAAGTTTGTTGGGCTGAGGAGATGAGAATGTGTTCCTGTTCACTTCTCAGGTTTTTGAGCTTGAATTTCCCTTATGGAAGACCCCCAAGTTTTTTTGATCTCCCCAATCATGGCTGTAGTGTTGAGGCAGGGAGTTCAAGCAAGTAAGTTGTCTACAGATCCTTACCTTCTGGACATACATATGTTATTATGTGGAGTTAGCAGACCATAGATTACTTCTTTTAAACTGGATTTGCTCTTCTAAGCTCAACTCAGAAAACTTTCTCACAAATTAAAGGTCTGTGGTGCTGTGTGGGGACTTCCTAATTTGCTACTGGGGTTGGGAGGGAATAGGAAGGATATTGGAAGAAGAAAGGAAACGTGTGAGATCTTCTCAAAGTGAGAAGAAAAGGACTTGCTGAAAAGGATGAGTAAAAATAAAGGTGATAACCTGTTGATTTAATAAAATTATACAGTTGTCTGGCTTTTACTTCTTTACCTCCATCTTCTAAGAAGTCTGGCCACCTTATGTTGTGTGTTTTTAATAGTTGAAGTTCCTATTTGTGCTTCCCTCAATATTCATGGAGAAAGTGAGCTGAAACTTCTAACTTGAGGGGTCTGGAGCACAAGTCTGGTGAGGAGGGAGCTGGGGGTGTTCAGCCTGGAGAAAAGGAGGCTGAGGGGAGACCTTCTGGCTCTCTCCAACTCCCTGAAAGGAGGGTGTAGCCAGGGGGGGTCGGTCTCTTCTCCCAAGGGACAGGTGATGGGATGAGGAGGTGGCCTCAAGTTGAGCCAGGAGAGGTTCAGATTGGAGATTAGGAAGAATTTTGACACAGAAAGGGTTATTGCACATTGGAATGGGCTGCCCAGGGCAGTGGTTGAGGCACCATCCCTGGAGGTATTTAAAAGCCAGGTTGACATAGTGCTTGGAGACATGGGTTAGTGATGGGTTTTGTCAGAGGTTGATGATTGGACTTGATCTTAAAGGTCCTTTCCAACCCAGACAATTCTATGATCATCACTGGATTACCTGTCTGGAAATGTTTCTTTGTTATCAAAATGGTTTGTGTTTCATATTGGAACAGAGCCAATGCTTCCTGAATATTTTTTGCCAGAAGGAATTGGGTTGGAATTTTAATTTTGTGATGATAATGCTTAGGTGTTGAGGTTTTTTCCATAATATTTTGTATCCTGGAAGTGACCTTAGAACCTGCTCAGGGTCAGTGTTGGAGAACTGACTGAGACTGTTACACACCATGCTTTTTGGAGACTGTCCCTAGTGTTTCATTTTTCCAAAGTATCCCAAAAACTAAATTCCACCCAAACTTTCTGGTTCAGCCTTAGTCTTTCATGAAAGTTATTTTTTTTTTATTCAAATTAGCCAAGGAAGAGGAATGATTACTGGTCCTTTCATATGGGAAGATTTATCATGTGCTTCTCTGAGGACTTTGCTACATTCCTGGTTTCCTCACGCTTTCTTGAGAGATGGCATTTTTACTTAGCTGTAGAAAATACATTGGTATTGGTACGTCCTGCAGGATTTCAGATCCAGAGGTTTCAGAAGAGTAGACTTTGGATTACTTCATATAATTGCCATCTGTAGCCATCACACTAATGATACCTGTTACCTGTCCCCTGAAAGGATGTGGTTGAAACACAGAAGCAGGAATTTAAAAAGTTGGAGTTTCAGGACTGACCCTGACATTTTATCAGTTGCTGATGGTTTTTAATGTCCCCTGTAGGTTTTCCTTGTTTTGAAACAGTGATAATGCAGGATGGTTTGCTCAACAACACATTTTGTGGCTTTTGGTTGGCCGAAGAAGCAGAATTAGTATCATTTTCTGGACTAAAATACCCATTCTAAGTGGATCTGCATGGATTGGTTGTCCTTTCCAGGCCTAAATCCTTATGTTTCCCTGTGGAGTATAAAGCTAACAACGTGCTTTGAAGAAGCACTGGTAAGTCCTTGTGAAAGGTGTTAGGCATGGATTTCTTGGCTGTGTTGGAAGAACATCCTGTGTGTGAGATTCAAAATAAAAAACACCTTGGGAACAGTTAAGCTCCTTTTGTCTTGGAACCACTCGTGCGTCCTCCTGGCCAGAACTGCTTTTTTTGGGGCGTTTTGCCTTAGATGATCAAAGCTTGGGCATCGGGACAGCAGGAGCACCACCGTGTATTTGCACAGCTCCTACTTTGGTGGCCCCTGTGGGGGGTTGGTTGTACCAGCCCTCCCCACTGTCCTATGTCGATGTCCCCCATCACTGGTTCTCCTGGAGTCTGGGATCAGGGCAGTGCTGCTCCATCCTTACTCCATGCTAATTCTGGCTTGACAAGGATCACTTCTAGAAGGTCTTCTGGTCTTATTTAATTTATGGAGTGTAAGCACTAATCCCACATAAAGAAAAAATATATATATTTAGTATTAAAATACACAGCATCCTTTATGTTTATTACAAATAAGCATGAACCCCAGTATTTTCTGACCAATGTTCAGGGCCATGATGCTCATCGAGGGCTGGAGCACCTCTGCTGTGAGGACAGGCTGAGAGAGTTGGGGGGGTTCAGCCTGGAGAAGAGAAGGCTCCGGGGAGACCTTAGAGCCCCTTCCAGTCCCTAGAGGGGCTCCAGGAGAGATGGGGAGGGACTCTGGATCAGGGAGGGGAGGCACAGGACAAGGGGGAACAGTTTTAAACTGAAAGAGGGGAGATTTAGATGAGAGATCAAGAAGAAATTCTTTGCTGTGAGGGTGGTGAGAGATGAACTGGTTGCCCCGAGAAGCTGTGGCTGCCCCATCCCTGGAGGGGTTCAAGGCCAGGCTGGATGGGGCTTGGAGCAACCTGGTCTGGTGGGAGTTGTCCCTGCCCAGGGCAGGGGGTTGGAACTGGATGATCTTTAAGGTCCTTTCCAACTCATTATGATTCTGTGAGGCCAGGCTGGATGGGGCTTGGAGCAACCTGGTCTGGTGGGAGTTGTCCCTGCCCAGGGCAGGGGGTTGGAACGGGATGATCTTTAAGGTCCTTTCCGACTCCTTATGATTCTGTATTTGTGTGATTCCTGATTTAGATTTTCTTCCACCTGTTTGGTTTTGCTCCTTGTTTGCACCTGGGTATCCCAGCTGTGAGCCAGTGCCCCTCTTGTGTCCATCCCACTGAGGCTGGTGCAAACATAGTCCCTAAAACATGCTCCCTTCCCTGGAGACTTCAGGAAGGTCTCTCATCCAGCCCTGTAAAGGAACTGAGAACATCCATCCATCTTTGTCTTCTCCTTTGGAGATGATGTGTTTGGGCTGTGAGGATTTTTAACTTTATGTTAGGCCGTTGAGCCAGATCCTGGATGAGCACAGTCATGGCTTGATTTATGTAGCCTGAAGGAAAACAGAAGAAACAGCAATTTATTTTCTCAATAGCTTTAGACAGTTAACTTTAAAAGGCTAAGTAAATACACAGAAGCTTTTACAGCCATTGGTCAGCAAGCAAATGTTTATTTTGAGAGCCTTTTTAACAAATTGAGCAAGTGAAGGGGTTGGTGTCCTGGCCTATAGAAGGGTCCTACACACATTCATCATTTTCTCATGCGTCAGCTTTGTTTTTGAATGAAGGCCCACCTACAAAAGTCCTAAACCCACATTAACTTTATGTAGCTGGCCTATTCCAGATGATAATATAATATTTTATAGAAATAAACCACTACAAATATGAACTTTCAGCCGTTGGTAATGGTGCTTCCTCCTTTTGCCTGGCTCCTGTAATATATGAATTAGAGAAAACTAATTTAAAAATCTCCGACTTAGAGGAGCTCTTCCCCTCCTCTTCCAATTCAAAAGCATTTTGGGGGACTTAAGCAATAATATTTAAAAAACTTACATTGTGCAAGCAATATGGTATTGGATAAAATGGGGATACTTTTAATACACAAAGTAACAACTACCCTTTTCAAAAAATTTACAAATTAATATAATTTGGTTTGGACCTGATTGATTTCCTTAAAAAAAACCCAAACATTTCCTTTTAACGATCATCTGCTTTCGTATTGCTGAAATATTATTAGGCAAAGAGTTATTTAAAAATAAATATCTACAAGGGAAAAAAATGTTTATGTACAAATGAACGTGTTTTCACTGTTTGAAGCACAATGATGGAGTTTGTGTGTCAATGCTCGACAAAAATACCAAGGCGTAAGCGGCCAGATATTCTCTTCTGAAAGCCATGAACTAATAGGCATTTAGGTCAGTGCCTGGCACGCCAAGTTCCTGCCCTGTAAAATTTTACAATCATGTTATGAAACCAAAAAAAAAATTAATATATTTTATGCTGTTGCTCAGAAAAATGTTTACTAAAC